GCGACATACCAAGGATCGTTGCTGGAAATTACACGGGAAACCAACCACATCCAGCCGAGAATGGGGAAACAAAGGAGGGCAGCATAAACAAAACAAGGACAAGCCCATATGACCTCACAAGTGCGTCAGGACCAGGCAAAAGAATATGGAGGATTCGACGGTGAAGAAATAGAGAAGTGCTGGGAACCCTTGAGAAACCATCTTCTGGTGCTTGTTCTTTAGCCCTCTCAGGTGAATCTTTATTCTCCCTTGGATTAAATGTTTCTGATAAATTGTTTGTGGATTCATGGATTATAGACTCGGGAGCCACAGACCACATGACACATGCCTCAAACCAGTTCAGCACTTATACCCCATGTCCTAGCAATAGGAAAATCACTGTTGTTGATGGAACCACAACCACGGTTGCTGTTGTAGGAGATATCCATATCACCCCTAGTCTTGTTCTTAAAAATGTTCTACATGTTCCTAAATTGTCCGCTAACCTTGTGTCCATTCAAAAGCTTACTAGAGACTTACATTGTCATGTTACGTTTTATCCCTCTTAATGTGAATTTCAGGACCAGGATTCGGGGAGGAGGATTGGACGTGCTAAGGAAAAGGAAGGACTTTACTACCTTGAGACACCGCGCCTTCCGAGTATGATCAGGACAAATTTATCCTCTTCGTTTCTCTCTTCTTCCAATAAAGATGTCATATGGTTGCATCATTTTCGTCTCGGACATCCTTCTTTTGCAATTCTAAAAATCATGTTTCCGTCTTTGTTTAGGGAATTAAATATTGGGACATTTCATTGTGATATTTGTGAGTATGCAAAACACACTCGTGTAGCTTTTCCCATTAGCAATAAAAGAAGTTCCTCCCCTTTCTATTTAATTCACAGTGATATATGGGGACCCTCCACAGTCCCAAATGTTTCTGGTTCACGGTGGTTTGTGTCCTTTATTGATGATTGCACTAGAGTCTCTTGGATATTTTTACTCAAAAACAAATCAGATGTGAGTACTATCTTTCTCAATTTCCATACAATGATCTGCAATCAGTTTAGTACCAAAATAAAAAGGTTTAGGTCTAATAATGCGAGGGATTACTTCAATCAAGTCTTGTCACCCTTCTTTCAAAAGGAAGGAATTATTCATGAGTCATCTTGCATTAATACTCCACAACAAAACAGAGTAGCCGAAAGGAAAAAGGGTCATCTCCTAAACACTACTAGAGCACTCTTGTTTCATCAAAATGTACCAAAACACTATTGGGGGGAAGCAATACTTACATCTGCCTACATCATAAACAGACTTCCTTCACGAGTTTTAGGGTCAAGAAGTCCAATGGAAGCCCTTTCTAAATTCTACCCCGACCTTAGTGCCACAAACAACCTTACCCCTAGGATATTTGGGTGCACTTCATTTGTTCATGTCCATAGCAACAACCGGGACAAATTAGATCCTAGAGCCATTAAGTGTGTGTTTGTAGGATACTCGTCCACACAAAGGTTACAAATGTTTTTATCCTCCTACCGAGAAACTTTATATCCCAGCTGATGTCACATTTGCGGAAGGGAAACCGTATTTTATTGAAACTTATCTTCAGGGGGAGTCGTCTATCATGGAAGATAAGGATTTTTTCCAGCTCGCTTTACCGTCTTCGCCTCGTTCACCATCTCTCTTACCTGTATCAAACACTCAATCCAACTCAGTACCTAAGCCTGAATCTCCTGTTTTGTCACCTATGTCTCCTGTTGTGTCTCCTGTGAAGGATAATATGACTCTTGATCACGTACGGTATGGGAAAGGGAAGGTGTACTCGAGGAAGCAAGGTCCAGCTCCTGATCCGGTGCAGGCCCAGACCTCCAACCTGACTCCTGAGAATGAGGTAATGGTATCTGAACCTACTCCACTTACAGAACACCAGCTCCCTAGACCTAAATAACTGACCAAGATTTGCCTATAGCCCTGAGGAAAGGAACTCGAGAGTGTACCAAACGACCATTATACCCTCTATCTCATTATGTATCCTTAAAGAAATTCTCACCAGCCCATAGGAGTTTTCTCACGAGTCTAAATGAAATCTCTATTCCAAACACTTTATCTGAGGCATTATCCAATGAAGAATGGAGGAAAGCAATGAGAGTTGAGATGGACGCAATGGAAAAAAATGGGACGTGGGAGGTGGTTGATCTACCAAAAGAAAAGAAGGCAGTAGGGTGTAAGTGGGTTTTTACCTTGAAATATAAGGCTGATGGATCATTAAAGCACTACAAAGCAAGGCTAGTTGCTAAGGGGTACACTCAGACATGGAGTTGATTACCAAGACACCTTCGCTCTAGTTGCAAAAATAAACACTGTGAGGATCTTGTTGTCATTAGCAGCCAATTTTAATTGGGAATTACAGCAGTACAATGTGAAGAACGCCTTTCTACATGGTGACCTGGAAGAAGAAATCTATATGAGCATCCCGCCAGGATTTAGAGGAGTTGAAGGGAACAAGGTATGCAAGTTAAGGAAGGCCTTATACAGTTTAAAACAATCGCCCCGTGCCTAGTTTGGGAGATTTACTAAGGTGATGTTAGCTACAGGATACAAGCAGAGTCAGGGGGATCACACTCTTTTCATCAAACACTCAGTTTCAGGGAAAGTCACGGCCTTAATAGTCTATGTGGACGACATAATTATGACTGGAAATGATGAGAAGGAGAAGCAAGCCTTGAAACAATGTTTGAGCAAAGAATTCGAGATAAAAGATTTGGGGAGATTGAAGTATTTTCTAGGGATAGAAGTGGCTCATTCTAGACAAGGTATCTTCATCTCACAGCAAAAGTATGTCACCGATCTTCTTAAGGAAACAGGAATGCTTGCAAGCAAACCAGCTGCAACACCTATAGAGCCGAACCATAGACATGGAGAAGCTATTGGAGATCAAGCAGTAGATAGAGAGATGTACCAGAGATTAGTTGGAAAACTCATTTATCTTGCCCACACCCGGCCGGACATAGCATATTCTGTTAGTGTCATCAGCCAATTCATGCATGACCCCAAGGAGATCCATCTTCAAGCTTCCGACCATGTGCTTCATTACTTGAAAGCTAATCCTGGGAAGGGGATAATGTTCAAGAGAAAATCTGAGGTTGTCCTTGAAGCCTACACAGATGCAGATTACGCAAGCTCCCCTATGGATCGGAGGTCTACTTCAGGTTATTGTACATTCCTTGGAGGCAATTTGGTAACATGGCGAAGCAAGAAGCAAAATGTTGTAGCCCGGTCAAGTGCAGAAGCAGAGTTTAGAGCAATGGCACAAGGTGTCTGTGAGTTGTTATGGCTGAAGATTATACTAGACGACTTGAAGATTAAATGGAGTGGGCCAATGAGACTCTACTGTGACAATAAATCAGCAATCAACAATGCACATAATCCAGTGCAACATGACCGAACTAAGCACATCAAGATAGACAGGCATTTTATCAAGGAAAAACTAGAAAGTGGATTAATTTGCACACCATACGTTCCCACGGGAGGTCAAATGGCAGATGTTCTTACAAAGGGGCTCAACCGTGTTATCTTCCAAGAAATTATTTCCAAGCTGGGAATGGTTGACACCTATTCACCAGCTTGAGGGGGAGTGTGGAAAAATACGAGTTAGTCTCCTTGATTAGTGGTAGGTTAGCACTAGAATTGTGTAAATATTTGTTTCCTAGAGTTTAGGGATTTGTGTAAATATTTGTTTCCTAGAGTTTAGGGATTTGATTGATAGAGAATCAGGGATTCCTGATTATAGGGTTTTCAAAATTTAGTTAGTTGCTGATTTTTCTCTCCGTAATTTCTTATATATAGCCAAACAGAGGCTCTTGTAAAGATTAAAAGATTCAATATAACTGAATTCATTTCTCCACAATGTCTTCTGCAATGGTCACTTTAAGATGGATTATTGCGTCCATCGCAGTGACTGATACAAAAATGGCTCCTCTTTAAAGTGACTATTACATATACAGCCCAAAGAACTTTTCACCTTGCCTCATTGAGAGAACTGCACCCCAAATTGTCAAGTGAATTGTCATTTCAAATTACTACAAGGAAAAGACTTATCAAAAAAAAAAAAAAAAATACTACAAGGAAAAGGATTCTGTTGTTCATGAAGCATCAATTACTAATCCACACTCTAGCCTCCTCTAGTTACTGCCCTACACCTTCACTAGCAATGCTCAAATTTTAGCCTGCAGTTTATCTTAAACTATCCAGTAAGCTTGCTACATATGTTGAGTTGTCGATATAAAGCCCTAAGGAATCCATTTGCCAAAAGCCAAATGCTCATATTGATCAAGGAGACTCCATTTCAGATATATATATCATCACTTGTTTCTCTTCCACTCCCCATTCTCCTTTTCAGGTCACTATACTCCTATAAACCAAGTTGCCTCCCTTTCATATAGCTCCTCTGGTTTGAATTAACCCAACAAACATGACAAACTTCAGATATTATAAAATTGAAGTTATTCTGCGGTCAACTAGGCATAGCCTAGGTTTCTTCCAACTTCATCTCTTCCACAAAGAAAAACCTAACAACTAGATGTCAACCCTGGTCTTACATTGATTACCCATATTCGCGAACAGACAAGAGAAGCTGCAACCCGCTGTTGTTAGCAAAAGATTCTACACAATATTTTGAGTTATATCAACACCAACATGAGAGACATTATCAAGATTAGAAATGTGGTTTCATCTGTTTTCACAGCTTTATTTTTCTGTCCTGGGGGAGGGGAACTAAAAGCAACTCATATCCTGGAATCAAATTTAAAAATATAAACAAAGAAAAACTCAACAAAGTTTAAAATCCAAAAATCTTACTTGGCAGAAAATTTTCAAAAGTAAACAATGGAAATAAATAAACACATATTCCGCAATCATGTGACAGACGTGATTTTTTTTTCAGGACATTAAATCATTTTCATTTTTGGAACTTCTATAATGAATCTTGATAAGCATTTGAGAGCTTCATGCAGATACTACCTTCTCAAACTCTTCAAGGTTGTATGGAACAAGCTTCTTCAGAGCTTCAGCAGAGGCCTTCATATAAGCTTCATCATCATCACTGCCATCTGATTTTGCTTCATTACTGCTTGTCCACTCTTCCTCATTACTTGCATCATTCTCATTCTCATTCTCAACCTCTGACTCTGAGGTACATTCTTCCACTGATTCCGCATTATCCTCATCTGACTCACTTTCAGATGAGCAAATTTCACTAAAATCCTGCACAAAGCCAACAGGAAATAATTACCATAATTTTAAATATATTTTGGGCTGAGAAATACGAAAAAGACAGTTGATATTTCTTATCTTTTGGTAGGTAAGCAACAAAAGCACACACTCACAGGCACCAAAATGCTCACCTCCTCGGGGAGGAGAGTTATAGCACCTAGGCCAATGGCCCAGCGAAAGAAGAGAGTTGATATTGCAAAGAATAAATTCAGTTAAAATTAAACCGAAAAATTAATTTATCAAGCTTACATAAGGAGCTAACACACTGCTATCGAGCACCATTAAAGGAACTTGTAAATCCCGTGCAAGCGCTCTGACTAATCTTTCTCGATAAAGCTCAGTACCTGCCAATAATCAACAAAAATTCTTTTCTTATAAGCAAACTTGAACAGAACTATTCTCGACAAGCTGAATGGTAAAGTTTTAGAAGGATGTGTCAACAATTAACCTGGAATACTCTGAAGCAGAATTCTTCCACTTGATGAAGTCAAACGGGCACCATAAGATGCAGTAAACTTCTTATGTTTCAAATGGGAAGCAGCACATTCAACCAAAAGGTTTTTTGTGTGTTCGCTGAAAGAATATCGACTTGAGTTACTACAAGCTCAATAATTTGAAGGCAAAGGGAACAAAAGCATATTAACAGTGAGTAGCTCTTACTGAATGTAGTAGGGAAATGTTTCCCATGAAACAGTTATTTTCTCCCATGGAACAACCCTCCTTAGGAATTCATTTTTAAACTTTTCCCGTCTAGTCAGAAAAGGTGATTCCTTCTTTTTATACTCAATAGACAGTTTCTCATTCTTGAGCCATTCCTTCTGATCTTGCTCCCCTAGTCGAGCATGTGCATCGGAGTACCTCACATTTTCACTTACCTTTTCCCTTCGATTCTTCCCCTTATCGAAGTTAGAACCATCTTTCACAGGTATATGTTTATCCTCACCTGCATTCCTACCATCACCTTGAGAGCTATAAAACCGCGAACAGCTACTCTTCCAACTTGCACTAGACCTCCCACGCAACCTTGTATGCCTATTATCAGAGGCAACAACCCTTGATGAGAAAGAATCTGATAGATATCTTTTGATCAAACTATCTCGAGAAGAACTGTTCCCTGCTATTCTTGTATGGCTCAAAAATGGAGAGTAATCATAATTTCGGGAGTTCGAACTAATCAAATATTTGCATGGTTGGACCACAAGATCCCATTTATGATTTTTACACTTTAATTTCCTTCCATACATTGCAATTTCTTACGTCAGCAGTAGATACCTAGCATGAAACAAAGTTCACCCCAATTAGCTCGTAATAATTTCATGAAATTTTTTAGGAGTACAAATAAAATTACAATTAAAAAAATCTATAGAGGTCCCTTTTTATTTTATTTTTTTCCTCTTCTTTTTTTTTTTTTGGGTGGGGATGGAGACCATAATAAACCAAAACTCGAGATGCAAAATTATGCACTGATAGCTTAAGATGTTTGAATTTACATCAATATAACATTTATCAAAAAAAAAAAAAAAAATTACATCAATATAACATAAATGGTTTTGAGTTGCTTTGTTTCCTTTTCCTCTGTTTCTCAGCAACCAAGCAGAGAGAGCAATAAAATGTACAAGAAATTTGAAAAAATTTATGTATACCTGGGTATAATAGATACTTCAGATGAGTTATTGACACACAAAATAAAAAGAAATATAATAACAAAATTTAGCTAAGCAAATACCTAATGATTACAGAATTTGATAGGGGTGAATAATAAAGGGAAATTAGGATTTTTTTTCTTTGACCACTTTTCAGTGGGAGAAAGAGAGAGAGAAGAGTGCAATGTCAATGAAAATTCACAAGAAGCAGAAAGTAATAACACTAACAATCAAATTTATTCAAAATTTTTAAATTAAAAATAAATTTAAAAAATTTAAAAAAAAAAAAAAAAAAAAAAAACAATACTTCTTCTACAGAACATTAAACACCCATTACTGTCGAATATCAAAAACAAATCTCTTTTACTTGTACAAAGTTAAAACCTCTCTATTCCGAAAACATGAGAAATAAAAAATAAAAATAAAAAAATTATGCTGTAAACACAGACCTTTGCTCGATTTGTCCTGTCAAGCCCTAGAATGATTCAAGGCCCGTGAGAGAGACTGGGTCTTTCATACAAATTCAGCACCAGAGAAGCTCAGATTCGAAACTGTCCATTGCGTAGAGTCTAGAAGAGTAACACACAGAGAGATATTTCTCAGGACGCCCGCAAATGGAGGAACGAGAGAAGGTGCGAGAAAACCGTTTTGAACACAGAGAGATAGAGAGAGAGGAAATGAGGATATGTGTTCTTCCACGTTCTACTGAAACATTTGGAGCTGAGTCTGGAACGGCGAGAGTTGTATTAAAACTTTGGACATGATGAAGCGTGATGGGCCGTAACCCTCGATTCCTAGCCCCAAATTCAGTTGAGATGAAGTTGAACACATTTCTAAAAGGGATTATTACGTATAAATGGGGTTAGGGTTCTATATTTACTGAGAAGCTTAGTCAAAGTCTCATATTTCTTAAAGATGAGGTTGACTAAATTGATGACATGGCACTTGAATTATTATTGTTTAAAATTTGTGGTGCCTAAAATGCCCTTCTCACTATTCCAGCACATTTACCGTATTACCCCCGTTTAATTTAGTCACCCAACTCTAAAACATTGCTGCCCTAAAATACACTCAGTCGTGCATCACAAATCCAGCGAAGCAAGCCCAGGCAAACACAGCATCACCGAACATGGAACCCTAACCCTCCCTCATCTCATTCGTGAAGAGCCCTCAAGAGTCCTCTCTCTCTCTCCCCCCCTCTCTGTAACAGGATTGAAGCGTAGCCGTTGAGCCCTAACCCTCATTCAAGCCCTCTCTATTTCCCCCTCTGTAACAGCGAAGCACTTCTCCACGTCTAACCGTCGTTGGTGCGCCCTCTCTGTAACCCAGCGAAGCACTTCTCCACTTCTGCCATTCATTTATTGTTGTTCTAGTAATATGGTAAGTACTCTCTCTCTCTTAACACACACGTTTATTTTTTAGATGATTATGGTCCTGATTTAGTGTTATAATTTTTTTTTTTTTTCAATTGGATGTCTGATTTTCATGTAGGTTATGTTTATATATATTCTCCTCTTATAATTTATATTATGCAATCATATATATATAATTTCTATTCTGCAATCAAGATTGTTGTTGCTCTGTTTGTTGTATATGTTTGAAATGTGCGTAACAAAATGTTGCTCTCTTGTGCGTGACAAAATTAATTTTTAAAACTCAGTTTTATCCCACCAACAAAGGCAAAATTTTTATAAAGTAGATACTTAATTAATCAAATGTTTTTTTATTTTTTATTTTTTATTTTTCTTCTTCTTCTTTTGTAATTAGGTTTGCTTGTTTTTGAAGAGTTCATGCTTTCTTTATACGTTGACTGAACTGAAATCCCAAATGTTATCCTACAATGTTTCCACTAGCATGGATTTTCATAGTTAAAATACTCAGAATTTGCTGAAGAAAACATAATTAAACAGGATAAAAAAACAAATTTCCATGCATGTCCTTTGTTACATACATCAGATTATAGTTCAATGTTAAATATATAGGCATAATATACATAAGATAACAAGCAACCCAACTCATATGTGTGCCAAAAGCCCTAAATACAATCATTTTGTACATTCAGTTACATAGAAAACCACAAAGCTTTACTTTTCCAAGTATCCCAAATTAAGATATAAATAGGATCAAAATCCTTATTCATATTTATAATTCTATATCGAAAATCACTAACTTGCATTTGAATTGGAATATCCATGTGCATGAAAAAATCATATGTGACCCTAGTCGGAGGAATAAAAATTCCTAAAAGATTGTAAAAGTCAGCATCATTCCTTCAATAATATACAAGTGATGGGCCCTAACTTTCCAGTTCTTGAGGTAAAGAGTTAAATGGCCCAAAATTATTTTCCCCCCCTCTATTTTTAGTGCATTACTCCGTGTATGTCTAGCTTACATCAGCTGCTAAGAGAGGAAGACGGAAGACAGACAAACTTTGAGTCTGTTCTTAGATTAAAACTCGTATCCAATTGCACCAAGTAATGATCCTGATGGATTTTTGGAACACGCCTAAACTTCAATATCATTCTTTTTAATTTTTTATCTCATTTTCTCTGTCCTACATTAGTTATCAGTTTGCATTTCTTTGATTAACACCAATATGAAAAAGGTGAAGGAGTTCCAAACAAATTGATTTCCCATTAGATTGGAAGAAAAGAAAGTTCAAGCATCTCACAACTAAAAATACTAAGGACAGCAGCACTGTTTATTTTGCTAAACCTTTTTTTTTTTGGTTCTTTGAACCAACCAAATACAGCTCTAAACCAATCAGAGGTCCTGCCTTTTAAGTTTTTGGATAGCTAGTTACTGTTGCTACAAATGCAAGAAAAAGGAGCAATAAAAGCAAACTGATAATGATACTTGCGAAGTTTAAAGGCCATCAGTGGACTGTTGGTAGACCAGTAATTAATAAATAGGGATTATTACATATAAATGTGGTTAGCGCATCATATTTACTTAGAGGCTGAGTCAAAGTCCTAAAGTTTCTCTAAAATGCGTTTGACCCAAAAGCTGAGGTGGCACATGGAAAAATACTGTTTCATATTTCTGTTGCCTAATATACCCTTCTTCCTATTTTATGTGTTGCCTAAAATACCCTTTTGTACACTTGCCTATTTTCAAGCCCTAATTCCTCGTCACATTCCATTCATGCCGGCCTATCTCTCCCCCCTTCTCTGTAAACAGCAGCGATCAACAAACCCCTCTCTCTCTCTGCCCTAACCCTCACTGAATTCTCTCTCTCATTCGTGCAAGAGTCGTTTCTCTCTCATCGTTGCTCTCTCTCTTTCTCAACAACTCTGTCTAAGCCAGTCCCTCCACCCTCTCTCCTCTCTAGCTTCATCGCTCTAGGAATTGAGAAACCCAACTCTTCTTTTCAGTGCAGCAACACTTGGCTCAGAAGAGGGATCAAGGGTTGTCGGTGAGCTTCAAAACCCTACATTTGTCAGTGCATTTTCATTGTTTCAATTGAATTTTTCTTTTTTTCTTTTTCCGGCTGTAATTTTGTATTGAGTTATGATGATTCGGTGTTTCTTAAGCTTTTTTGTTGTAATAGTTCTTGAATTTGTGTTTTCTTCCTATTGTAGGCTATTGGGTTTTCTAAAATTAGGGTTTTCTTAGGTGGGTGGGTCATACCCAGATTATTATGAGAGGTTGTTTGTACTCTTGGGCTGCTGGAGTTTTTTGTTTGCTTCCTCTCAGTTGTTATTGAAAGTTTTGGTTGCATTTTTTAAGCTTCTTGTTTTATATCCTTTATTTTTCGACAATATAACGCATTCTTACCTGTTGAATTTTTTTTATAGAACATTAATCTGATCTTAAAACTTAAACGTTGTACTGTTAATGCCTGCCTGTGTATAGTAGAGATTCAATGTCCCTAAATCCAAATAATTCATGTTCTTTAAATTTACTAGGACCATGTGGAAGCAAGTGGCAGTACGTTTGGTGCCTACAGGCTTTTTGTTGGATTTCACTAGTTAGCTAACTAGATTGTGCCAAGGTAACAAGCTTAAATCCTATCTTCATAAGTCATTTGTTCTGGAGACCTTATGATATAATCAATAAATGTAAACTGTAAAGAGGCATGCATGTGATAGTCTTTGGGTAGGGACACTTGTTATCAAATGTTTGTGAAATCTACATTCCCATTTGCATTTGCTTGATAAAAGAATTGTTTAAGATTACTAGTATTGGTTCTACAATATTAAATTAAAAACAGGTTTTTCATACATACTATATTTGTTGTGGTTTAGTGGTTGAAATGTAATTACATATAAAATTTGAGTTTGGTTCAATTAAATAAAAATGCTTTATAATAATTTCATGATTAATATCTTGGGTGTTAAGAATCACTAATAAAGATTTTAGTTCTCAATATAAAACAAAAGGAAAGAAGCTACTCTGTTTGGATCTTTGGACTGTGACTCAGAGATGAAGTAACAAATCTTCATGGTTATGCTATGATTGTGCCTTAGCTTACAAGGTTGGAAGTCTTTGGTAAATGTTTTCACTAGGGAAACATAGCATTTTAGAGCATGTCAGTGATGGCCTTGGTGTCTGATAATTACCAACATTTGAATAAATTAGATAAATAATTCTTTTTAGTAGACTGATTGAATATGTTAACATTTTTGAACGATTAAAAAATTTAGTCTAAGATATTGCCATGCAATGACCAGAAATGGAAAAGATTTCTTCACCATCGGTTCATGAAATTTGAATGGGTTTAAACAGCAAATTTCTAGATATGCTCACAAGTTCCCCCCACGCCCACCCCCCCCCCCGCCCGCCCCCAAACTGGTGAAGAGTGCAAGCTGCTTTATACCTAAGCCCAAATTCAGTTGAAAATACAAGACACGAACAATAATGGGAAAACTGTTATATGACCTTTACGTCTAAATTTTATTTACGGGAAAAGAAAGAGAGAATGAAAGAAAGAAGTAAACTTCGATCAAAATTCTGTCCAAGACTGATGCTTTGGAAGTTATTTAGTTTCTAACGAGATGGAAAAGAGAAAATATAAAGCAGTAGGTAGTTATCTAAACACCAGTTATATAAATAATAATAAATAAATAAATTAAGTACTTATTCGATTTTATCAAAAGGGATGCAGAAAAACCCAAAAAGATAAACATATTGTCATAAAACAAGACATAGCATTGGTAATACTAATACCTCTTCGGGCGTTGATTCTCTTCTCGAATAGTCGAATTGGGTCATAACCCTCCAAACACGCCGCATAAATAATTATCCTGACATTGAAATTCAAGCAATTTTCAACCCATCAAATAACCAAAACAAATAGCCCGAACTCTCTATATATATACACACACAGAAAAACAAAAATTGGTAAGAGGAGGACATACAAGGTGAGCTCTCTGGCGGCTCTGGGGCTGCAAAACCTGCCACTCTCGTCAATTATGGGCAGCATTTCTCTGGGAGATGAGAGAGAGTTTGCCGATTTTTCAAGAACTTCCCCAACAGCCGTGAGAGCTGAAGAAGTGCGAAGAGGAGAGCTTAATAGAGAAATTAAGCTTTCTGAGAATTAGGTTTTGAGTAGCATTCTCTATACCGGATCAGAATATGACACCTCTTTGCATTATTTGGAATCAAAGTAGAAATAGAAGTTAGAACTAAATTGAAGAGTAACACTACTTTTTGTATAAATATCAACATTAAAATGCATCATGCTTATTTTTTTATCTAATATATTCTACACCCGTGCATATATATAAATATATTGTGGAACGTACATATTAAATTGATGACTTAATATGAATGCCACAATTAAACACGCTACCTTAGGGGGGTATT